AGCAGGATAAGACGAGGCATTAGTTCTTTAATCCTAGATATAGAGCTCCAAAATCAGGCACAACATAGAACCAGCTATGAGTAATTCCCTAATATTGTTTTAGATTTTTGTATGTTTTCCCTAGTTGTTACACCTATATAGCTGCATTGTCCAGTCTTGAATATATGATCTCAGAAGGGCAATACCATTCATGTCTTTATGTAGATTATGCTTTTATAAGACTGCTTTTATTGCCGACTGAAGTCAGAATCTCGTGACTTAAATTTGGATACCACTGCTCTAGAGAATACAGTTTAAATATTAAATAGTTTCTTTTAGTGCGAAAGCATGGGATAAGCCAGGGAGGAGGGTCTGAGGAGGAAGTAGGGGAGAAGAATGAACATGTTACTTGTTGCGGATGATTTCATTGCATTGGGACTCTGATACAATGGTATTGATGTTGCTCTTTACCGCAATAGGTAAACTTTGTACAGTGTCACTGCTTTACGCAAGGATTGTAAGAGGAACCTTCTAACAGCGTTATTTGGAGGAAATTCCTGTCCAGTGCATTCACTGGGAGTGATACTGGCTGGGGAGCACAAACTTGTGTCATTTTTATGTAGGTATTTCAAATTTGAGGAGCCTCCAGTGCATTTGCAAATTTGTCATTCTACAGGTGTAACTAGCACTCTCTGTGTTCTCATTCCAGGTCTGGCAGATGACTATTTTGCCTGTCACCCTCTCTGTGATCCGGATTTGAACCTCTTGGGGAACCAAAATCAGCCTCCAATTCCCCTGCTTTCTAATTCTGCATGACTAAGTCATTCAGCACGTTATAAATACTGTTGCTCATTCCAAATACATTAGTTACCTGTGCACCAATCATTGTCAGCATATTTCTGCAGTGGAGTGGTTTAGCATTGGGTAATTGGCATAAATCAAATCGCCTGACTCACAGTATTGCCCTTTCTGCATACACCCACGTGTGGCTGTTACGTATGTGCAGCTTATGGGAGATATATGAAAGACAGCAGCGTTGCAAACGTCCTGCCAGCAAACAAGGAACTTGTATACACTCAGAAAATAGCTATTGAACTTGTATACACTCAGAAAATAGCTATTGATGCAGAATTTACGTCAAAATAAGAGGAAGTGAAGAGTGCGCAGAAGTATTTGTTTTGTGTGACTGTAGGAATCCTCAAGAAATTCTTTTCAACCAGAGGGTTACAGTGAGGAGAACAATGAAACCGTGTCAGTGGTAGATTTTTGTCTGCTGATGGATATATTTATGACTGAGGCACGTGTCTTGATGTCTGCGTGGTATTTTCCGTATCTGTGAATGAGAGCCCTGTATTTTGGCTTAGCTTTGCTGTAGGGCACAAAGTCACTTCCCTGTAACTCAACTTTTCCCCATCAGTAGAAGGGGAATCAGTAATCGTTTGTTGTTCTCAGAGCACTTTCGTGTTTAAGGACATACCATAATCCCTGCTGTTCTTCTCACAAATGATCTATAGAATGATAACAGTAAATTGAGGATTTGTAGAGGTTACATTTGTAGAAATAGATTTCCCTGTGCTTACAGTTTTCTGCAATTGACTGTTTAATTTCTGCACCTGAGTGACTTCTGGGTGTAGCTCAAGCTGCTTAGGTGTCTGAGAACTTGATTGTGCCCATGTATCAAGTATTTAGGCATCAAAGTGTTGTGCCTTATGCCTTCACACAGCAGCACCCAGAAAACTGCAAATGTAGTGAAAGAGGTCAGCCTGAAAATCGGGTCCTTGCAGTTTATGAAAAGTGTTGGCCGAAACAGGGAACCGGGCCGTGAAGAAAATTCTATTAGATGAGCAATGCCTTTCCGTCCATTTTAGGCTGTCTTGTGCTGAATGTGAAGTCCATCTCCTCGTTCTGTTGGGTTGCCCTGTACTCAGAAGGGCACGTAATTCTCTGGGCAGCTTACTGCCTTTTGCAGCCCGTGCTGTTGCCTTGCACGGCTCTGAATCTTTCAGCTGGTGGTACTTCTTCCTGAGCACACTGATGTTCCTGTGGGTCACAGCAAAGCTCAAGGCTTATCTCCTTGTAACTGTGTGCATCTCAGCTCAGATTGTAACCTGAGGTTTTTCAGAAGTGTTCAGTGTTGGCTTACTCTGCCTTCCCGCTGTGAGGGGGAGATTTATGCTTTTTTCCAAGGTAAGTGGAGCGAGATAGGTGCTTAGCGCCTTTGAAAAACTTCCCTTATTCAGTAGCTTCTAATCAAGGAAAAAAGCAAGGGTTCGGGGGTTGCAGGTTCAACTCTTTCACAGCTGTGAAGAGCCTTTAGGATTTCACCAGTCTTAGCTTGTCCCCGGCATGCTGGGGAGGCTGGGGTTGTGCTCAGCAGGTATTGCCTTTTCTGGATCCCTGAGCGGGGTTTGGAACTGCCCCACCTCCCCAAACCCTTAATTTTAAACAAATTTTAAATTTTTAAATTTTTTGTTTCATTTTAGACAAATTAAAAGAGCCTGAGGTTTTAAAAAATAAATGCATGCAAGGGGGTCGCTTTCCAGTCACGTGGGTTTCTGCTTCCCTATTTGCGCAGCTTTTGCTGCTGTCCATCCTGAATTCAAAAAGACGAGGGGAGAGCTGCTAACGTGTTTTATTTCTTTTCTCAGTATTTCTGGCTTCTTGTGCTCTCACGAGGGTTGGTTGGCATCGGTGAAGCAAGTTACTCCACTATTGCACCAACCATCATAGGAGACCTTTTCACCAAAAACACAAGGACCCTTATGCTCTCAGTTTTCTACTTCGCAATTCCTCTTGGCAGGTAAGTGACCTAATGCTTCTTTCATCTGGTTTTGGCTTTTCTCTTAAAGTAAGTTCACACAGATCTTGGTTACTAACGATGATAGTTCTTCTGTCTTTGCCTGGAATGTTATAGACAGGAAAATATTGTGAGCAGTGACTAATTAGTTGCAGGAATTGGGTTCTTTTTCTAGCTCTGTTACTGGTTCATGTGTGACTTTTGGGAATTAGAGGGAAGGATTTTTTTTTTTTTTTTCTTACAGCAATGGGGTGGAAATGGAATCAAAATACTTTAGCTGACTTTTTTTTTAGCATTATTAAATTAAACTATCGTTTTGAATAATGTTATACTGGTTATGTTATGTTATACTATCATTGCTTCAATTCATTTGAGGTCTAGGCCGCCTTTAGCCAACGTCTTTCAGGTTACTGTGAAATCAAGGTCTCAAGACACTGGGCTGAGTTTTCAACAGTGAGCGAATGGGTACCTGCTTCTATGTGACAGTCTAAATATCAGAGGTTTCAAGAGGAGCATGCTATATAACATACGCACTTTGAAATTTTGACTTCTTTTAAAAGTATTTCTAGTTTAAGCTCAAATTCTGCCTAACCTTGAATTTGGCCAATCTAAGTTTGGAAAATGCAACTAAGCCAATCTTAGATGACTTGGTAGTTGCGATAGCAGTGGCCAGTCCATTTTAGTGCTGTTGCCACTGAAACAGCAATTGGGAGAAATTGTGAAGTCTAGTGTAGACAAGGCTGAAGAGAGAAACTGTAATGGTTGTTCACAATCAGTCTTAACGCAGAGCAGTGGAAGGCAGCAAGCCTGTAGATGCTTGATGAAAGCACCGGGCAGACTCAGATTTGGAGCAGTTATTTCCTCTGGTTCTTTCTTTCAGCGGAGTTCCCTTGTCAGCCCAACGCAGCATCTGATTGTTGGGACAGGAGGGAATCTGGGGTTTTTTTGTTTTGGTTTTGTTTTTTTATTTTCTTAAAATAATGGCTGACCCTCTATTGTGAGGTTGTAGGCAGGGTGGGTTCGCGTAGTTTGCATACTGATTGCCAGAGCTCACAACATCCTGTGCAGAAGTGGCATCATGGTTCATTTCCAGCAGGGAAAACATGGGCAGCAGTTTAACCCCCCCCAACACAGGGAGAAACTTCTGGTTTAGGGTGGTGCGTTTTACAAGTTAGAGCACTCATCCCTGAGATGAAACTCACAAACATCCATTTGCTCTTGAGGAAAAAGAGATAGCCAAGTCCTGGGCAAAAAGCCCAGTTTGGGGGTGATTATAGATGGCAACCTCCAAAGTTTAGCAGACTGTTCACGAACGGCATGGGATGGCTGACAGCTGCCCCGCAGCAGTCCTGCAACTTTTAGCCAAGGCAATCTCTGCAACAAATGCAGCAGTTTGGAAGAAAAGGAAATTCACATCCATTCAGTTCGCTTTGAGAGAAGCATGGCTGCTTTCACCTTTATCTCATCTCTTGTGAGCCACCTTTTGTTAGCACAGTGTAATTCTTAGCATGTAGCTGAAGGTCCTGCTGCTCCTTTATCTTCAGAGGGGATTTCCAGGCTTCAGGTCTGATGTTCTCCCATCAGAATGTCTTGCATATTCTTGGGTTTTTTTATAAGCTTATGGAAAATGGTCTCTTCATGAGTAACTAGAACTAAGTACAATTAAACGGCAAGAAAAAAATTAATGACAGGATATGGTGTGTCCTTGAAGGGTATTTCTTAACTGAGAGCTCGAACGTAAAATTGTTAAGTATTCATATTACTGCACAGAAAGTCCTGATGTAGAAATCAAATTGGGAAATAAATCCTTTTTGAGGCTTTGTTGCCATCCACTGTAGATTGAAAGGTCAGCTATAAACTTGAGATCAGTGTCCAAATTTCCATCAGATTTGAGCATTTTTAGATCAGCTGTGCTGGGATGAGTTACATATTAGCCACCATCAGCTTCATCCCCCATGTTTCTTCCTGCAGCAGAAGAGAACGTAGGACACACAACTGACTGTGACTTTTTTTATCTTTGTTTAAGAACAGCTATGATCATGGTACTCTGACTCTCATCTTCGTGTTTCTTGCAGTGGCTTGGGATACATCACAGGGTCAAGTGTGAAGCAGGTTGCTGGAGACTGGCACTGGGCATTGCGGGTAAGCTACTCTTAATAACATCATAATAACAGTTGCATCGATTAATCAGTGTTAGGAAGAGTGCTATCACACAATTCCTCAACCTGTTATTATATATAGAAGGTAAAGGATTGTAAATTGCATTTATGGATATTAAGTGCATAGCAGATGCATTCTCTAAGCAAATGTGAATGGTATGTCTTTTTGGCTTGTTGTACTTGTTTTTTTCCCTGCCTGGGAGCAAGACTGTTCCAATCACTTTATTATCAGTCAAGCATGATTTCTTGATGAGGATGGGAAGACAAGGCATTGGCCTTAAATCAACTCCACAGTCTTTCAGTCCCCTGCTGTCAAGAAACTCTGAGAATGGCTTCCTGCTTTGAGGAAAAAACACTTTGTTCCAGTTTCCGCTTGTTTTTCTGCCCTGAGACAGTCGGTTTCCTTCTATTTTAACCTCTTGGGACCTTGATAAATGTGTTGAAAAGATAATAAACTCCAGTCACATAGGCACAAACAGATCCTGAACACAAAGATGTCTTGAAAGAGCTGAGAGGAAGTGGCCCAGCAGAACTGTTGTCTGACCTTTGGCAGTCTGGGTGGCATGAGCCCCCGTGAGGTGCATTCTCTGGCTCTGGCACTTCATGAAGACAATGAATCTCATGAAGCTCATGCCAACACCATTTATAACAGCAGGTGATGAAACACATGGGTTCCCATCTCAAGCAAATGTGCACCTCTGTGACACAGGCCATTCGCTCCCTGTCCTGCAAGGGTATGCAAAGCCAGGAAAATCACCGTGAACAGTTCATCTGCAGCTAGGAGAGTGGAGAGTAGTTTCCAGCTGTGAACCTGAAATGAAAAGTTTAATGGCCTACAGCTTCACACCAAGAGGACGGCTACCTCATTCAGTCGCAGAAATGCTTTAAGGGTAAAATTAACTTTTGAGCAGAGGCCAGCACAAGGAATAAGAAACCCCAAAGCCCCTCCTGCTGGTCAGTGGGCTTTAATGAGGTTGATATGTTGGAGCGCTCTTGTGTTTCTGTCTGTAGAACCCAAATGATTAATTTGTACAAAGAAATACTCACTAGCACTTTCTCTTCAGATGAAGTCTCCATAGTTATCCTGAGAAATCCAGGCTATCTGCAAGACTGTACCCCTTATAAGTCATGGTTTCCACTGTAAATGACACATTGATGCATGCTTCCCTGACCATGCAAAATCGTGGGGAATCTGACAAGCTGCACGCTTCTGTGATGGTTGCTTTGGACAGCATTGCTTAGTGTTCATAGTCGAACAGCACCTGTTGAAAGCTTCCAGACATCGGTGTAAAGCAGCCTCCGTCCCTGCGGCAATTATTGTGCTCTTGCACGATGTATGAGATTCCCCTAGGTGATGCTTCCCTCTGTGATCTCCTGTGGTCTCCAAATCGGGAGGAGGTCAGGAATAATCTGTACTTCAATGGGCTGAAGAAGACAGAAGGGCACTCTGACAAGTGGCAGCTTTGTCTCTGGATCTAGCAGTAATGTCAGTGTTTCACTGGAGCATTACTGAATATCCATGGATATTGTCCTGTTGGAGGATTAAGCCTTTAGATAAAAATCAAAGAGCCTTTAAATTATATGACCCTAGAAAATCCCAGCATTTCAATTTTTTTTACCAGTGCTGTGTCTTGTGTTCAACTGTAATAAGGATACTGTGTCAGGCTTCATTTATCCCTGGATGAGGGATTTCCAGTTCTGAAATATTTTTATCTACCCTTCCCTTCCCTTGAAGAATTCTGGGTTTGTTGTCTTTGGATGTGAAACACTGGTCTGTGTGTAAAGGCTGTTCTCAAGTTACTATTGGAAGCATTTTTTTTTTTTTTTGGAACACAAATTTATTTTTAAAATGGATTGTATAGAAAAGGTGATAGTTCGGTGAAAATCCATGTTCCTGTTTTCCTAACAGAGCTATTTTCCATTCTGACAATGATGGAACTTAGTGTCAAAAGAATAATCATATTTATAGCTTGAAAAACATTGTGGGATCTTTGTATTTTTGTGTAGTGATTGAGAGAAAGGATTGGAAATGGGGAAGCCTAACCCTTCAATGTGCTGTTTTCCTATCTTCCAGCCTGAATTTGCAGTGTTTCTTGGTCTGCTGTACACTGAGATAATCTGAGGAAGCTGCCTGAAAGTAGGAAGCCATTGTGGGTTAGCTGGAAGAGGGATGCATGTCAAGCAAGGATTTTCAAAGCCAGCATGCTCCCTATATCCAGAAATCTTCCACCTGGTCTCCTTGCCTTTGAAAGGCTTCTCCACTCTCCCAGAAACTAGTTGGTCTCTTAGCCCAGCTGGGAGTGGGTTTCCAAAGAGTTAAACATCACGGAAGAACCGTATTTAGATGAATCTTGGTACTTTAATAACACAAAGAAATGGACTGCCTTAATCAGAGTATTCTCAAAGCTGCATGCTTCCAGAGTGAGATAAGAGTCCAGGGAATGACAGGGAGGAAGGAAAGGAGCAGATGCCTCAGTGTGCTTACAGATTCTGGCTAGCTGTAAAGAATCGAGTCACTGAAATGAAACCAATGTAATCTGCTTCTTACTGACTAGTCAAAGCAAACCCTGCTGACTCCTCTGCTAATTCCCTGTCCCTTTCTTGCAGGTATCTCCACTCCTGGGAATGATAACAGGGACGCTCATCTTGATATTTGTACCTGCTGCTAAAAGAGGAAATGTTGAACAACTTGGGGGACAGCTGAAGGCTCGGACCTCATGGCTGAGAGACATGAAAGCACTGATTAGAAAGTAAGAGCACTCTAGTAAAAAGCATGCTTTGCCTCTCCTGCTTAAGTGCAACGTCCAGCGGCCTGTACTTCTTAGCACTGTGAGACTGGAAAGTGACAACATGCGGGGAGGTGCAGGAAGCTTAGGACCTAGGAAAGAAAATCATAGTTACATTTTCAAGAGGTATTGACTACAGTGACAATGATGGATTCCAACTTTTGCTCTAACCTTTCCAAGATTGAGATCTAAGAGAGAGTCTGCTTTGTTTGGCTCATACTTCAGACAAATCAAGGCTTTTGAAGTGTAGAAATTGCTGTGTTCCTATATTAATTGTTGTGCCACTGTTGTTAGATGCTTATATCCTTTTTCTTCCTTGAAAGAGCTACTCTGCTGAGTGGCAAAAGACAATTAAATGCCAGAGCAATTTAAGAGGAGAAAACACACAAAAGCTTGCACTACATGGCAAGTTTAAATATATATGTTTATACAACCACATGTGACTGAATGCATGAGCACTGAATGTGCTCGGGTGCCTGTGTATGTGCATAAAAGATTGCATGCTGACGAGTGTTTAAGCAGCTGCCCTTGCTTCCAGAAAGCTTGCCTGTGCATGTCCCAATACTTGCACTTGTGAATTCACTGTTGCATCAGAATTCTGATGGGAAACTTGTGGTGTCCTTCGTTTTTAGAACTGCTGGCTAGAATACCTTCCTGCTATTGTCATCCAGTATCAAAGGACTATGAAAAGTGCTGATGGTTAATTTATCAATATTTCTATATTACTTTTTTGTTAGTTTATCCAAGTAGTAATCATATGGTGGCATGGATGGGGAGGGAGAAGTGAAATTGGTAATCCAGGTAAAGAGGTGATATTACAGTGAAAGCCCTGTGATTCACACATCATGTCTTAATGACTAAGTATTGATTGTCTTCTGAAATGGTCCCATGAAAAATGGTCTCTTTGAAGCACTTCTGAAGAGTTAAGTACATTATCAATGGAGCATCACGTATGAAGAAATATACTATGCCTCTTATTCTCCATTGCTTTGTACCTTGTATTATCTCTGGCCCTTGGCAAAGGGAGGTCACTAGTATGGGGGAACACTGTGTTTCGTCACTGAAGCACTGGCTCCTGTCCTGGGGCTCCTGCTCTTTCACTTTTCCCACTAAGCCTTCTCTTGATTTTGCCTCTCGCGTCTCCACAGCCGCAGCTACGTGTTCTCATCGTTGGCCACCTCAGCTGTCTCCTTTGCCACAGGGGCACTTGGCATGTGGATCCCTCTCTACCTTCACAGAGCACAGGTCGTGCAGAAGACAGCAGAGACCTGCAGCTCACAGCCCTGCAGCACCAAAGATAGGTGAGATTCATACTCCGCTGCTTTAAAGAGGGGGGGAAAGGGGGTGGGAGCTTATTTACCAGAGAAAACAGGCAAGTCCCACGGAGTCAAGTTACTAGAATGTCTGTAATTTCCTCTAGGTCTTTGCAACAATGATAGGAAATGCTGGGATTGTAAACTAGGTTTCATTTCTCTTCTTTTCTTCATCGCATGAAGTCAAACCAAGGGAGAAGCAATGACCTCAGCACTGTCTTAGTTCCCAGGCTATAGTGCAGAAGCAGAAAAGAGACTGCTGTCATTGCCTTAGAAGATTTTTGGAGAGCTGAGGGAGAGTTTGGTTTCCTAAGACCCACAGTTTTCTGTGATAGCAGCAGAATCAGCTGGCAGGTTGGGTAGCCCCAGTGGTGGCTATAATTCAGGGTTCCCCTAAAGGCTGCAGGGACTGACCCTGAAGACTTTGGTTTCCGTGTGAGGGAGGACTTCACTGTGTTTCATTGCACTGTACGCTACTGCATATGCTGAGTTTTGCTGAAAAATGTTGCAGAGATCTGGGACACTTTGGTCTGGATTGCTTGATGCTATATGGTGGTTTGGTTTTCCAGTCCCAGTTATATAATATCACTTGCAGCACATAAGCTATGAAAAGTAATTCATCGTTTTGTGCTTTACCGTGATGGCACAAAACATAAAATGCTAAAAAAGCATTTCTCCAGGTGAATAAAAGATACGAAAAACTGCCTTTTGTCAGCTCTTTTGCTTTTTAGCTGGTGAGGGAAAAATAACATTAGGAAAACCTTCTTGCTCTAGCTGACACAATCCCATCTCAAGTAAACTATTTAGTGGTTTGGAGCACCATCAACTAGAGTGCCCAGCAGGCGGTCTCGGTCTATTCTGCAAAAATGCAGTGAGCAGAAAATACAGCTCCAGTCAGACTGCCCATCTTCTGTTCACAAAGAAACGTTTTCCACTGCTTGATGGCACCTGTATTTTAAGCTGCCCTGGAGCTACTGTAATGTAGTTGCCAAAGACTGTGTAACCCAAGTCCTGCACATACCATACAAGGAATCCTTGACAGCTCCTGGCTCTTTAAATTTAAATGAACACATTTCAAATGTGTAACATAACAGCAAAATAATCTAATCAGGCTTCTTTGAAGTGGTCTGAAAGGAGTTAGAAAGTCAAAGTATGTTGAAAGTCACTGGTATTGAGAGTCTTGTTAGGTTTCCTTTCCCTTAAGCTTCCTAGTGCCTGTTCTGTCCGTGATTTCCCCTTACATGATCAATGTGCAGGTGAATACTTAGTTTTGTGCACACATAATTAGCTGTATAATGCTCTTGATTGGAAGCTCAGTTCCACACAAAGAAGCAGTACGAGCCCTTCGCACGTCTTTGCATGTTGATCAATGCCTGTGTACAAGGCTGAATTTTACATGCCGTGTTTTTCTTAATTGCAGGGGAAGAGTGCTAAAATCATAAGCACTCAGCAGGGGAGGTCATTTGTTTTATTTTAAATTTGCAAAGCCAATGTGCAGATTTCCATTAGTCAGTTTACCCTAATAATTTGTTTTAAGACCATGCCCATTTTTGGGAAAAACTCCAATAAAAATAACTGTCTCTTTTTTTTTTTTTTCCTTGTCTTTTTTCTTTTTAATAGCCTGATCTTTGGAGCAATCACATGCTTCACTGGTTTCCTGGGTGTAATCACAGGTGCTGGGGCAACCAAATGGTGCCGGTTAAAAACTCAGCGAGCTGATCCTCTTGTCTGTGCTGTCGGCATGCTAGGATCAGCCATCTTCATCTGTCTGATCTTCGTTGCTGCCAAGAGCAGCATTGTGGGAGCCTATGTAAGTATAATCCTTTGCATATGCCAGTCTCGCTCTTACTCCCTCTACCAGACTCCTTAGAAGACTGTGTGCGTTGTCCCCTGCAGGAAGCCTGAGATGTTGGTCTTGCTTTTCCCCTTCTGAACGTCCTTCATTTTCCCCCTTGGCATTTTGGCACTCTCTAGGTGTGCCTAAAGGGAAAATGATATCTCAATTGCTTATCCCCTCTCGCTAACTGTCATCAGAATTTAAAGGTGGGGATTTAGTGCATGCACGGAAACCCACAGTTCCCTGCCTTTGGGTTGCTCTATCTATACCTCTATCCATACCTCTGTCACTCTTGCCTATGTTTTGGTACAGGAAGACTGGCCACTTCCCTTACAATAAGGGTATTGTAGCTGCAGTGGTACTAAATTATAATTACAGTATAATTTGTCTGTGGGCATGCTTTTGGCTACGTATAAGTACCATTAATTTGCATAACTAGGTAGCTTGCTGCAGACCAATATTAATTACCATGTAATTTCAATTTGTTGTTATCTGTATTAGCGGAGCACCTGAAAGTCCTAGTCATAGCCCAGGAACCCTCAACACTTGATGCTGCACAAATGCAGATTAAGATATGGCCCCTCCCAGCGTGTTTATAATTGAGGTATATAAAAAGACATCAGATAGATGCAGACAAATAGACTGAAGGGAAAAGGAAAAACTCAAGTATAATAACCCGCCCTCAGGCTAGAATTTTGCTTTCAGTAGAGAGCAGAAATCCAGTACTCTGAACAGGTCCCAGGTTCCCTTTCAGTGTAATAGAGAGCAGCCTGGGACCTGGGAGAAGTTTTTGAAGGGAAAGCATGAGATGGTTGGAGTACTGGGATAATTTCTGAAAGCCCACCCTTAGCTGTCATGCTGCAGTGCGCGCTCCATCCAGCAAGGAGAATTCATCTACAATTAACCAGTCAACCAATCTACTGTGGTTCCTTGTTTTTCTGTATTTCTAGCACTAGCCTAGCCATGGTAATTTTCTGAGTATTTCAATAGCTGCCATCATTATGGGGAAACAGAAGAAGAAAGAGTAAAAGTTTAAAAACATTAAGGCAGAACTAAGAATGCCTACTCTGGCTATTTAGAAAGTGTCAGAAGGAGATTCGGTCCTCTGGTTTGTGGCACAGTCTAGAACTAACCTTTGGTTCAGTGATCAGCAGAAAAATGGTCACCTCAGGCAACCTGTAAGAGGGTGCTGCTGGTTGGCCAAGCATTAACCCTCCTTTCATCACCAGCCCTCTCCGGGTGAGAAGATCTGTCACATCCCTCTGCCTCCCCCTCCCCTCCACCTCTTTGTACAGCCAGCCCTGTGAATTTCTCCTTTCTCAGACCTGATGGTAGATATGTTGCTTTGTGGTGTGTAGTCTCTTTATGCAGAAAGTCCTCCCTTTCTAAGCTGGAAATAGTTTTCAAAAATTTTGCAACAAAAGGTGGTTATTGGTTTCATTTTCATTTTTCTTTTTTTTTTAATAGCCGTGTGACTATTCTGCATTGTATAAATATATAACTATAGATGGTATTATTTAACCAATCTTGGAAACAATTTATTTTATTATGCATGAGCAGTAAATCTAATAGAGAGTCAATGATTTGCAAAGGAAGTTTTATCTGCATATGGAGGGGGTATGAGGAATATAAGCCTATTTGCTGGTGCCGTTAGGCTGACGCATACATTTATTGCAGGTAATACTGCCTCTCCGTAGCCCTAAATATGCTTTCTCTGCTGCTGGAAACCTGATGCATAGAAAGCAGATACGAGTCTAGTTATTGTGCCGGCTGGGGAATCGGAGATCTGAACTCTCTTTAACAGATTCTACATGTGATGGTGGGCAAGTTATTTAACTTTGTTTTGCCCCTGCAAAAAACAGGATTCTTAACTTACAAAGGGTCAGGGTAGCTTAGATCATTAATGTTTGTAAATCACCTGGAGTTAGAAGATCTGTGGCCAAGCCATCTGCTATAAATTAATATAAACATCAAACAATGACACAACACCCGCTGCTGTTGCTGTTTAGTGTTACAGGTGCTAAGCCCACTGAGAGAACAGGTCTGTGTTGGAGCTACCAATATCTTCTAACACAAGGTATTATCATGGTGGTGCTATGTATCAGCTGAATTGACTTTTTAAGGCAAGTTTCAAACACAAGCCCTTCTTTTTCCACGCCATTCAATGCTATTGCAATCTTACAGACTTCCAGAGTGTTTAATTCCCTTGTATTTCCCTAGGAGACCTGTCTTGCAAGGTTGCATGGTGTAGCACTTTCTCATTACTGTCTGTTTTAAGTCTCTGGTCCAAAATGAAGGAGAGACTGTTCTCTGACTCCGGAGTTGGAACACTCCATATGGTGGACAGCATGATGGACTAGGTTACCTTTCCTCAAAATCCATGATAATAGCTTGTTCTGGAAAGAATACAGTAAAATTTATCAGTGGATTTTCTCATCTCTGATAGCTTCCTTGACAGCTGTGTCCTGGCTGTCATCCTGAAACAACGTCCTTCAGTTCTGCATGACTGTGAAAGGCAAGAGCAATGTTCTGCTCTGTTCCCCAACATGGTGGTATTTCCAGACCTTCTGTACTGTGACTGTCCTTAGACTTCTGTCATTGATCACACTGTGCTAAAATTGAACATCTTTGGATGCCTTGTTGGCTCAGAGCTTTAAAATTATCACTTCCAAGCACTGAGATGGGTCCCCATGAGATGGTGTTCTCTCACGCTGTGCTGTGGTGGCCACCAGATCACCATCTCCCTCCCTGCTCTAGTTAACAGCTGCGAGTTTTTACTTTCAACTGATACTGGCATCAGCATAAATGAAGTGTTCAGCACTCCAGCAAGAATCAGCAGAGCCCTTGCTTTTTAATTTCTGGGCTTTTGGGGTTTTGTTTTTTTTTTTTTTTTTTAAAAGACCTGCATCTCCTCTGGCATGATCACCTCGTCCCTTACAGGCTGTCAACTGTCTGCTCTCTTCCTTTCCCGAACATGCGTACTTTTTCTCCCCTGCTCGGTCCTGTCTTGCAGGTGGTTTTGGTCCCTGAGGGCAGCTGCTGTTCCAGTTCTGCAGCAGCCACTCCTACCTGGAGCAGGTAGACAGACTTCTTTTTTCTGCCCAGTCTTTTCATACTAATCCAGTGAACTACTGGCAGTGGTAGAAGTGGCTGGAAAGGTGGAATAAAACAGCATTCTACATTTCATAGCTGCCCAGACACTTGTATTTCTGCCTTTTACTATCTTGCTTGGCTGTATAGTCCAATCAGTTCTTATTCTGTGTTGCTTGCAGCGTGTGGATTTGTGTGTTGTAGTCCGGCTCCTTAAAACAGCAATTTGCCTATCTTTAGGTCCCACTCTTTCTGAAATATGTACTCTTTGAAATGTTGGTTTTCAAACCTGTCTCTTGAAACCCCTTAGCTGTATGGCATCATTGTATCACACTACTTAGACATCTCAATAGCAGATTTTAGACTAGTTTAAATTTCCAAATGACTGGAGAGAGATGCGTTGCTTTGCCTTCCTTTTCGCACTGTTCCAAGTTCCTGTTGTACCTCAATTTGAACATCTATTTCAATTCCTTAAAGACATTTTATGATCTTGCAGAAACAGCAACTCCCAGGCTAAAACCTTGCCATAGAGCTTTTACAGCATCTCAGGCTCAACTCCAGGGACTTTCTGTTGACATGGTCTTGGTGGCTTACCTACTTCTGAGGCATCGATATTGCCCAACACGGAGATGGAATTAGACTTGCTTCAAATTTAAGAGTACATGTGGGAGTCTTACCCACCATTTCAAGAGAAATACAGATAATGAAGATGTAGACAGATACGCATTTGCAAATAGCCATGGAAGGAGTTTGTAACCTGCTTAGATCTTGCTGTGAGAGCTGCTGGTGCGACCACTCTGAAACTACTTTACTTAACCATTTTTGAGAATCAGAATTTGCTAATTGATCACATAAACAGAAGGCTTGAGGGGAATGTAACTTCTGTCAGCTCATCACAGATGAGCAACTGGACACCAAATGGCATGCATGGTGAGATACTATACAACACAGCTGGATTCAGAAGAGAATCTCTATATCAGCTCTAGAGCTGAAATCGCAGTGTAAAATGAGGCTTTGAAAAGTGTGTGAGGAGTCAAAACCGTGACCGTTTCAGGAGCTATTGATCTGTTCTGGAGCTGCCCTATTTGCAGTAAGCATCCCTAGAGTCTCTCTCCGGCAGAAATGCCACATATCCTCATATGCCCTTTGCAGCAGATAAACTCATTTTTATAAATCCCCATTAGCAGCTGAAGGACAGACTTTTTTTAATGTCAGTATCTTTTGTCCTACTTTTTGATCTTCCTCTCTTTCCTCTTTTCCTTTTACCAGTCTCCACATATTAAGCACGTGTTTCATGGAAACGTGTTGGGTGATATACACACTCAACAATTCAAAACTGGTGCGCTCTGAAGTTTGTAACATTTCAGTGATTTATTTACAGGACTTGTGCTGAATTCCTGCAGAAGGGGGCAAGTTTTACTTGCTGCATGTAACAATTCATATGTGTGTTACGTGTATGTAATTTATATAACCTTAAGGCAAGCAGTTGCCTGTTTGCAATATCGTATGAACAGGCAGGGCATGTTGATGCCGCATTCAGAAATGCGAATACCTCTCTCCCAAGCTCAGTTTGATCTATCCAGCCACAGAACCCCAGCAACAGCAGCTGCAAAGCTGTAGTAGGACAGATTTCAGAGCAGGTCCGGAGCGCCCAGCTGGGGCTCCAGTGTGCCCTTGCTATGTGATACGAGGCTTCAGCTCCCGTCAGCACCTTGATTCATCGGATCTGTGTTCCTTAGCTGTCCTTTCCAGCGAGAGCCAAGTTCAAGGCAGGCCAGTGGACAGTGGGAAAATGGACAGAGGAGATTTCCTAGCTGACCAGCTGGGCCATAATGACTGGCTCAGACACCATCACGGAGGAAGCGATCGAGTCACAGAAAGAGGGGACAGGGAGGGAGAATGTGTGGGAAACAAAGACAATTTTAGAAACAAATAGAGGAAGCTTTCTGTAGGTCAGTGCGTAAGACTTGCTAAATAAAGCAAACTATTCCTGGCAGTGACATGATGGTCTGAGGGGTTTCGGCAGTCTCAGCCGGTATGTGGGAAAGACAATTGCGGTGGTCACATCAGAGCCGTAGCTGCCAGTCTTGGAGGTCCTCCTCCCACCCCAGACTGCGCCTGTGCAAGCAGCAGGGACTGGGACTGTCAGCCCATCAAAGCTCACAAGAACACCACAAAACAACATCCATCTGAATGGTTCCTCAGAGCAAAGTGTACCATGTATTTCTTGCTGGCTTTGTTTCATTAATGAATTGTAGCCTATTCAACATAACAAAAACTGAGCATAAGGCAATTAAAAGGGGAATCTTCAATTACCTGAATCCAAATCTTCATAGCTGTTATCTCCAACTCCCAACAGGGATTCCAGGAGTAATGTTTTCTCTCTAGGTGCCACAAAAAGAAATGGGTTAGCTGGGCAAAAAGCAACCTTCTGGGGGACATTTAGTATAGGATTTTTGCTTGCCTTCTTGCTGGTGGGGAACAGGGGAGCTGGTTTTTACAAGTCTGGTTATTTACGTAGCACTTTGTCTGTGTTCTGCTCTTCATAATACACAAAGGAAGAGGGAAATGTGTGTGTGGAAGATTTTCCATCCTTGTTTTTTCATCCTGTTGAACCTACATTTCTTTGTTAAATTGTTAACGTACAGCATAAAAGCAAAAGTTTCATGATTGAAATATGGGTGAAAAGCTTTTTGATGAAGGCAGTGTTCCTCCTGAAGCCGTGTCACCCTTCCTCCGTTGGACTCAGTTCGATGAACATTTCTTTTAATGATGAGGCCAGGCTAAATTAGTTTCTCCTCTTGATCATTTCCAGTTCTTTAACTGCTGTAAGTGTTTGTAGAACCATTTAGTGAACTGCACCAGGGAACTGATTTGGGTTAAAAATAAGAAAAATAAGCAAAACAAGCAAAACAAGCCCCTCTTCCCCTACCTCCCCCCCAACAAAAGATTCTTTGCTCCATCTCAGTTTCCCGATCTGAATCCCTGCTTGGCTCTGTTGTACCAGCACGGCTGAGAAGGCGGTATGGGACGGGAGTAAGGAGGGAGGGAGTGCCAGAGGGGTAAAGGGTATGTGGTGGCTGTTTATACCACACCCCCACAAAAAGCAGCTCTCATCCCCCTACCTACACAGGGCTTTTCATGTATCTTGTTGACCATCTCCACAGAGTCAAGAGTTATATTTCACCATAAGGCACTGATGTTGCAAAACCCATACTCAAGTCCTGCCCGGACTGTACGTAGATATTACCAGTGTAACGCTTGAGTTGTTACAGTGCCTAGACCTATGTCCCCCTCAAAAAGGACAGCAATATGCTAGCAGGGGAGGGAAGGAATCTTGCACGTAGTGGGTAGAGAACCTCACTTGGTTTGCTACTGAGCTTAACACATAACTTGATTCCTAGTGATGAAAATAACTGTGTTTGGGGGAGTTGTGGCCTTTTTGCCTTTTCTAACTGGCTTTTTGGAACAGAATGATTTAAGTATGGAAGCTCAGGGCTGTCTCTTCTTGCTGGCTTCTCATATTCTTCTGTTACCGAGTGTATGTCAGCCTTTTATTTACCTGCTCTGTAGATCATAAACTGTTTACACTAATGAAGTTGCAGGCCAACCCTCTAGAGCTCTGATAAAAAACTATAGTTTTCTGATGCTCAGGATAAACCACAACAGTAACCAGGAGTGTATTGTGTACAGAAGAATCCTTTGAACAGGTCTGAGACAAATAAGCAATAAAGGAAAGTTTGTGACAGGTTATTTTTCCCTTGAATGTCAAGTGAATAAATCTTCTCCTTTTTGTGTGTTTTGTTACAACAGATTTGCATTTTTATCGGAGAAACTCTTCTGTTTTCAAACTGGGCTATCACAGCAGACATACTAATGGTGAGTGTACTTTGGAACAGCGTCTTCCTCTTCTGGTGGCCAGAGCAGTTTGTCAGCTTGCAAGAACAACCTGAAGTTCACAATTTCTTCCAAATGCCTAGCCCTTACTTCAGCCTATTCTTTTTTTTTTTTTTTTTTTTAATGAGAAGGAAAGTGAGATAGAGGAGGAGAAAGAAAAAAAGATTATTCTTGTTATATTCTAATTCTTCTATTATTTTTATACCAGGGAGAGGAAATGTCCAGAAGGGACACCATTACTGAATTCAAATAGTTTCCCCCAATTTTAAGTATTTGCGCAAACCCCCATATGCAAAGAAATCAGCCAGCGTTTCCTAACAGTCAGCACATTAGTGGATTTTGTTATCAATAACTCGGCTTTGTTCTGCAGTAGGAAATCCTTCCCTCCCTCCTCTGACCACAAAGGCAGCCATCTACCTCTCTCTTTGGCTTAACTCCAGCAAACCTACCATTCAACACATACACAATAGAAAACCACCTCTGGGAGAGGAGAGAGGAAAAGAAAGTATAAAGAATTTTTGGACTATGTCCACCTTGTCCAGGAGGAAACTGTCAGGGACTTTTCACCTCATGTCCTTCATTTTCTATTCTTTCTCCATCACAGAGCTTTTTAAGTCTTTCAAATCAGCAAGCTGACCTCAGCAGCTAGGTTTTCATATGAAATAATCTGGACGTTTGTTAGAGAGCCTTGCATGTTTTGCAGATAATGTAGAGAGCCTATCAAACATACCGTATGTTGAAATCCCATTGTGAGGGAGGTTACTTGTTGCTTATTGTATGAAAAAGAAAGAAACTAGGGCACAGAACCATTACAGGACTTGCCCGAGGTCTTTTGGCAGGTTGTTGACAGAACTAAAAATACAATCAGTCTGGCATCAATAGAAAACTCCCTTGACTTGTATTTGTTGCTTATGCAAACATCAATGAGAAAACAATCCGGCTCAGTATGCCTAGATGTAAAGATAATGGTGTTGATATATTGATTCAGCAAAGAACTTCAAGCTTCTGTTTATGATTTAAGTTCAAGGTTGTGTTGGTATTTGAAGGTAGCTCTGTAGTTGCCTTGTGTGATGAACTTTCAGTCTTTAACTCATTTGTGCAGAGAACGCTTTGGGAGGTGGGGTGGTTAATTCCACTTCTCTCAGATGTGAATAAAGCACGGAGAAACAAAGGTTATCAGTGTACTGCAGTAGCATTAGATAGCTTTTCATTACCAAGGTTCGTTCCTCCTACCAGTTTAGCTTTAGTGTAATAGAGCTCTGCATGGACTGAATGGGTGTTTGCTTTGTGCTTACATGGGTTTTGCAGCTTGTGTCGAGTTGAAGGCTGCTGTGGCCGTTCATTGAGTGGTATCTCAACACCTAGACAGATGTGCAGTCTACAGACAGCTGTGTTGAGGAAGAAATTATAGTACAATATTTGTAATTGCTCATTACTGCCTCCTGCCAGAGCTTCCTGTCGCATCCTGCCTTTGCCTGCAATGTTCCCAGGAGCGCTCCCAGCTCGCTCTGGTCAGAATTAGCTGATGGGCTTAAATAGCAGATCTTTTGTATCCTCCCTAGCATTGGCTGAAACAGGTAAGGGCTTGGCCATGGAGCACATCTGCGGTCCTCCAGCAGTGACTCTCAAAGAGCAGCTGAGGCAGTCATCTCTGCTGGCAACACAGCACAGCTGGAGGGAGGGTACCTGTCGGACATGTTCAAGGTCCTCCAGCCTATCTGTGCCAGAGAGAGAGCTGAAACTTGACCTGCGTTGTCTCAAGCTAACCCCAAAAGACATTTTTCAACCAACTACTTTGTTATATCAAGTGTACTAAGGATGCCATCATGGTCCCATTTTAATTACTGAGATTTTTTTGTGTTGATTTCAATGTGACTTCAGTATCCTGTAGCTTTTTAATAGCTTTTATAGGGTTTGCCATCTGTCTTACCAGCATCCTATAGGCAGTTGCTTTTTGTAGGGATGCATTTGCAGTTATTTAAGTTGCTTTAGTGCAAAAGAACTCCATAAGAAATTATTGGACGCAATTGGAAATAATTTCTTAGTTCCAATTTCCAAAACATAGGAAAGAAACTAAAACCATGTTAAAAATTGGTTTTTGGTAACTGATGCCAACTCTTAAGCTAGCTGTTCTCTTGTCTGTTTAGAAAAATGACCTGAGTGTCATATATAATGCCCAGCTTAATGCATTATCAGCACGCATAGGCCTGTAAAAGCGCTATACAAATAAATGTAAACATCCACTTGGATCAGTGCAAGCCTGTAACCAGATGGTCTGAAGTGCATTCACATTACACAAGGGGTTTGAGAGGATGTTTAGTCAGACGATAGGTGAGAGCCCGGGCTATAACCATGTTTGACAGACAGCTTTATAAGAATTCCTAGGCAGAGAAAGTTGTGGATATGCTTTAGCGAGATGCACTTTAAATGTTTGGCAAATTAATTTCTACTGATTACTATTTATTTGGTCTAATCAGAAGTGTGTCTGTTCTTGCCTGAGGCTGATAAGGAGTTTAAAAGCATTATTAGCGTAAGCTTAACAACACTTTCATCATATACATAAATATTATCCTGTTTTCATGGATAAAAAGCTCTCAATACTGCCTGAACACTGTTCCCACTGATTTCATTATGCCAGAAGTGAGGCTTTTTGGAAACTGCATCCCAAATGATTTATCATAGCTCTCCCAAGATTTACAGATCTCGTGACTGCTTAAGAGCCCTATTGGGCAAGTTGGTAAGCATCTTCAGAGGCTTTGCAAATTTAATTTCCTTGGCAAAACAAGGATGTTTGCTTATTATCTTCAAATGTAATTGTTGGCTCTTCACAGCGTCGTGCTTCCATTGCACCTACTGTTCTTGCCAGTGTAACGGTCGGTGTGCAGCTCCTCTAATTGTCTGCAGTAAAAGGTGCTGAGTGCTAGGTTTGATAAACTGTCAGCGCTGCAGAATGTACTGCACTGCCTGAGATGTTAAAAGGCTGATATTTGTTCCAAATGCAAATTTGTACAAAACAGGCCTTATTCTCCTGAGCACAACCCTCCACGTCTCCTCCCAGGCACATGCTCAGATGGTGCTTAGGGAAGGCGGGGATGTTTCTTATGGAGCATGCTAATTATGAAACAGATTTTATCAGCCATCTTTTCAAATTGCCCTCAAAATTACCAGAACCCCAAAGTAGCATTAAAACTGCCTTGTAACAGCAATAATGAATGAGCTTCAGTGCAGCAGGCAAGCGTGTAACATTCTGAGACATGCTGAGTGCCTGGGACTTTGTGGAATCTGGTCCTAATAGTGGGGGGGGGGGGGTTTCCTCCATAGCACATCTCAAAAATAAAGATGATGGACAGAAGCTTGGTGGCATTTCTGTGTAAGAGCCAGTAGGCAATTTAAAGGGCCTCAGCTCACAATCTCTTTAGGTCTTTGCTGAGAAAAGCGATCCTCCAGTTTATGCAAAGTCCTGACACCCATGCAAAAAAATGCTCTTGCATATTTCTTTTTTTCTCTTAAAACATTAGTTGTATTTAAATGGTCATGGGCTGCCATGGAGGAGCAGCTTTAATGTTTTGCTGTAGAGTCAAAGTCTTTCTTTAGGCTTGAAACAGGCATAGACTGGTGCTCAGCTGTGCTATAGGCATGGAGGAATGTTGCTTTTGTTCTGATTACCTTCTCTATAAATAAAACCCAATTATTTTTGTAGTATAAAATACTGCCCTATTTTTCCAGCCAAAGATAAATAGCATTTCCTGAAGTTCTCATTGTTGCTTCTCTCAGTGTGCCGGCACACATCAGAGCGCAGTGGTTCAGATTGTAAGGCAGGGTGAGGAGTGCCTTTGAATGAGGGTACACAGCCCACTTCAAACACCGGAGCACAGCTCTGACCAGAAGGGATGTGCCAAGGGGCACCTCTGCAGCTCTGCCGGGGGCCAAGGGCTGCAGCTGGAGGCGTACTGTGATTTGGAGACCAGGTCAGCCTCCCTTTACTTCATTTAAAAGTATTTTTTTTAGACAGTGTCTGCCTTGCTTGAGTGAAGGGTCTCTCTCAGGCTGGTTTCTCTGGTTCATGGCCTTTGCCTGTTCTGAACAGTAGTTGCAACAGGGACGCCTGGACTATTTCCAGGCTCTGTCTGTGGCTAGAACGGGGTTAGCGTCTATTTTCTTGCCTTCCGTGCTGAGAGAGGTCAGTATGCGTTGTCCTGAAGATTACTGTCTGACCCAGCAAGGGCAGCAAAGTGTTTTAGAGAGTAGAGTTTTCTATCAAAAATTAAACATCAGAGCTTACCTCTTTGGCACGTGGCCTTTTACTGGGAGAAGAGTGATCTCTCCTTGGCTTTCCTGGTTATTTCAGACCAACTCATTTTGCTGGTTTCCCTGCAGGAAGGGGATGTCAGCAGTAAACCATGGCCTTTCGGAGCCTCTATTTAAAGAGCAGAGGTTTGGCGAAGCTGCTTCGTCAGCCTCCCTGCCCATCCTCTGTGCTGCCTGCCTCTGAACCTGGAGTCAAAGATGAGCTAGAACCATCCCACCGGCTTCCGCCTCGGCTGCTGTGGCTCTCCCACCTCCAGTTTCTGTGGGATGTTCAAACCAGGCCATGTATGGTTTGAATTTAGGTCTATTTTAGTATCAAAATACCCATTTAGAGCTGTAATTTAGTGCTGTCTTCCTAGAACAGTAGATCATGTTTGTACCAACGACTTCCTCTCCATCAGAACAACGTGCTCTTTAAGTAGGGATAGGGTGGAGTATTTTTTGGTGCTTTGGAGGTGCTGGTTTAAGCCTTTTTTTCTTTCCAATATCTTTTTAGAGGAGGAGGAAAAATCTCGTGTTCATTTGCTTGCCACATGTTGGTTTTTTGGACTGGGGGGGAGGCGGTGTTCATCACTTGAATTTCAGACTAAATTCACTAAGTTTTGGCACTTCATAGTGCCAAACCATATCAGTGGTTTCAACCATCAATAACTTCGTTAGCTAGGCAAACTGAAAACTTGCTGGAAATTGTATTGCTACTTGCAAAACTATATGTATGCATAATACAGATATACATGCAAAATTATGTCTAATACATGTGTGAGTGTGTATTCATGTGTATAAATGTATATATATGCACACACACACACGATGCAGGTATCATTCACATTTCTTTCTCCAGTTGGCACCAATTCACTGCCAGTCCCTGAAAATGGTAAGTTCTTAATAAACTTGCCATTTCCTTTGTCATTTTGCTAAGAAAATGGATAGAATATAGAGCCAGGCAGGCTTTCTTCTCCAGATTTGTTAACATAAACTTTATAGAAAGAAAAATAGTTTAACATAAGTTTAAAATTCCATTTTGCAGATATACACAACTCTGGACTCTTGAATTAGGTAGAATATCACTTTATCTTCTCAGATACCCTTTCTCAAGCAGCTCTTGCAGAATGCTTCTCCATTGCATCTCTGTGAGCTGGGGCCAGGTGGAAAGAAGAACAATAACTCTTTTTTTTTTTCCTTTTCTTCTGTCTAATCTATCCAGCTTGCACCCATTACCGTGCATCTTTGGGGAATGGTAATGAATTGTGTGGTCTCCTGCTTTTTCACAGTGTGACCTTCAGTACGTTTCTGTGTCTCCAATAAAGTCTAGACCTTATTTTCCTCTTGGGATTTCTGTGAGCCTTCAAGTCTGTTTTGAGCTGCTGGATGCAAAAGGAGGACAGTGCCTAACACCCGCAGCCAGGTGGCTGCTGTGGATCTGATCATCTTTTGCTCTTCTGTTACACAACAGGGGTTTAACAGGGTACCCATTTAATCTGTGGCATCAAAGTGCATTAGCAGTGTGCATTTGCAGCTCTGTCAAGCCAGTAATGAAAGAACTGGCAGGTCATTCTGAAAGCACATGGTAAAACCCTAAGGAAAAGCATTTAATCTAATTTTACCCACCGTTCGTAATTGGCTCTGCTTGGAATGAGATGATCATTCTAAACACGCATCAGTTCTCTTCTAGTGTAGATTTTCTCAGTGCTGTTTCTTTTCTTTCCCTTTTTTATGGCTAACTCTTTCCACTGCAGAGAGGGCAACTCACCTTCCCTAAGAGGAAGCATTAAAGCACTGAAACAGTGCTTCAGATCCTGTGCCCTGAGGTAGGTTGCTGTTGAGCAGCGAGTTCTCCCTACCTCAGTGAGCTAAGGTAAATTGATCTCTGGGTATCTCTAGCTGGGGATACGCCAGTCCTGGAATGTCACGTTTAATTAATAAATGACTTCAGGAAAGGATTGCAAGAATGAGTTGAAGTCTGGGAAGGCAAGCTTTCTAAAGAAAGACTAAAGGCAGCCCATCAGAGAGAAAGTGGACAAGTAAAAAGAATCATGGTCTACAAATAGCTAAACAAGGGAGTCATTTCTGGCAGGGTAGATAGCTCTTCAGAGCAACAGAAAAAGGCAGAACACGATTCGGTGCTTAGAAGTGGAAACAAAGCTCACTTGGATTTAGAGACCTATTGAATTCTTCATTACTTACAGCCTTTAAATCAAGACAGGATCAATTTATAACCTGGGATATGTGGACTTGATGCAGGTGTTCTTAACCAGCTTCTTTACAAGTTTTATGCAGGAGATAATTACTTTTTTCTGCTCCTAAATGTGTGTTATAAAATTAAGGTCATTCCACGGGATGGGGGTTTGTTAGGTTTTTTTCTTTTTTAATCTTTCATCCCCTTCCACGGTCAGGGCTCTGTTTTCTGTGAGCTCTGGTCCCTTAATGGGGAAGTAATTCGTGTTTTCCACCGATCCTGTGTCGTCAGACTGATTCTGCATGACCTGGCCGAGGGTGTCATGTCCTATTAGAGGAGTGGAGACCAAACTACAATATTGGCTATGGAAAATTTTCCTAATGTGTCTTTGTCACTTTTCACCAGTGGAATTGCGAATTTTTGAGAAAAACATAAAGTGGTTAGAGATGGAGTGGGAGGGGAGGATGTGTGACCTTTCATGCTGATGGGAATTGCTTATGGTTGAGGACACAAAATAATATCTTTATTATGGAAAAAAACACAATATCCCAGGTTACAGCAAAGTCCTCGTTTGGAAGGCTGGTGGTGCTGAGCAAGTTACGTGCTGCAGGCAACCTTGAACTTCGCTCTCCCCATCAGCCAAGCAAAATATAGGTGTCTCGTGGGCAAAGTTATTAGTCAAACTCATGCATTCAGTGCTGCTGAGAGAAGCGCAGACCGGACAGAGCTTCCTTCCCCCAACCCCTGCCGTCAGGAGTACCAGAAAGCCAGGAAGGGCCGCTGAGCTCCCCGGTTGCTTGAGCCACCCATGGGCTGGACAGTGGCTGGGTCTGGCGCCGCTATCTTTGGGGGCTTGTTTTCTTTTCCCCGGCCCCGGG